ATATATAGACACATAGAGCAAGAGATTGCAAACGACAGAACAAACAGGGCCAGAAGTTAACAACTGGTGAAACAGGGTAACCTGGGTCTACAGGAGCTCTTTCTGCTATTCTTGCAATTTTTCTGTAAGTTAAAAATTATATCAAAATTAAAAATTATCATCAACAAATAAGGCGAGCCATCTAAATCCAGAATGCAGGCCATACTGCAGACAACTGGCCTAATCATCTCAAAATGTCAATGTCGTAAAAAACAACTGGGGAAAACAGTGTGGCGGGTCCTCAAAAAGTTAAAAATAGAATTACTACGTGACTCCGCAATTCCGCTCCTAGGTATAGACCCAAAGACTTGAAAGCAGGGCCTCAAATACTTGTGCACCCATGTTCATTGCTGCATTGTTCACAGTGACCGAGGACACAACCCAAGAGTCCATGCACGGATGAACGGATAAACACAATGTCCACACAACGGAATATTACTTAGCCATAAAGAGAAGTGAAGTTCTGATACATGCTCCAACGTGGATGAACCTTGGAGACATTATCCTAAGTGAGACAGTCACAATACTGTATGATCCCACTTACATGAAACATCTAAAATAGGCAAACGCATAAAGAAAGAACGTAGACTGGTGGTTAGCAGGGCTGGGGAGGGAGCATGGGAAGTCACTGTTCAATGGGCACTGGGTTTCTACTTCAGGTGATGAAAAAGATCTGGAAATGGACAGCAGTCAGGTTACACAGACTTGTGAATGTACTTAACGCCACTGAAATGTGCACTCAAAAATGGTTAAAATGGTAAATTTTATTTAACGAAACATCAGTGGGTGGGGCGGAGTGCTGTAGCTGAAAGAGACTGAGGGAACACAACCAGTGCAACCATGAGGAGTCAGTTTGGAAACATTGCGGGGAAATCTGAATATGGACTGGCTATGAGATGATTCAGGAGAATTACTATTGGTTTGTGAGGGCGATAATGGGACTGAGACATGGTTGTTCTTTGGAGGTGCGTGCAGAACTATCTAGAGGCAGAGTCTTATGATGTCTGTTATTTCCTTTGAAATTGTCCGCGAAGGTGTGTGTATGTGAAGCAAATATGGTCACTGTTAACCGCTGAGATTAGGGGATGACTATACAGGCATTCACTGCACTTAAGTTCATTACACAAAGACCTCCAAGTGAGTCATCTCTTTGCTGACGACTCCCCAGTTTTTCTCTCTGACCTGCCTGCGCTCCAGGCTCCCAATTGCCCCACCACCTTCTCGGCAGCCCCGCTCCTGCCCCCTGGGCGCTGGAAGCTTAGCCGGAGGAGCAGCCCCTTCCTGTTTTGTTCAGTCTTCCCATCTCAGTGGACAGCACCAGTCCCGGCCCAAGTCCCATTCCTCTTTCCATCAGTCCACGTCCAGCACCAGCAGACGCCACAAAGCCCTGTCTTCTTCGTTTCTGCTGCCACCACCTGGCCAGGCTGCCTTTCGCCAGAGCCACCTCAGCACCTCCCCGCAGCCTCTCCTTCCAAGAATTGTCTTGCCACACAGCGGCAGCGACAGGGCCTCTGTCCTATTCTAAGTACCCCCAGCAGGCCTGGCTACAGCAGGCAAGATTTGCTGAATGCAATCAGTATTGGAGAAGTTTGGGACAATCACCTAAAACTCTCATGTACTGTATCTATAAGAACAGAAATATTGTCAGTAAGTTGTACACCTGTAAAAAGTGAGCTGACAAAAGTTGTGTGACAGATGTATCTACAACAATGACAAAAAAAAAATGTAGCTGCCCAGGCTGCTGATGTACAACCAAACACCTCATGGAATTTAGTCCCTTGGTTTAGAGGTTTAGGGTCATGATTTCATGGGTCATTCCAATTAATTGGCCTAATAATGTGTTTAGTGCTTCTGTTCTACCTCCTAGTTGATTGCATAATGCCTGGGGTCTTAAATGCTTGCAAGTGGCCATCTAAGGCAGAACAATTGGTCTCTATTCGCCTGGAGCAACAGAGGAAGGAGAGTCAGGAATAGGAGGAAGATATGGAAGGTGTGACTAATTGCCTCCAAGAACAACTGCCTCCTTTGCCATGAGACTGGAAGAACTAGATGGTGCCCAGCTACCATTACTGAACATTTTGATCAAAGATTCTATAGAAGAATCCTGATCAAAAGGGGGAAAATGTAGAACAGAATTTCAAATTCTCATGGATTCCAGACTTTCTGGAGCCAAGGGGGCTAGATGAATCCCGAAATTATTGCCCTGAGATAATCTTTAAACCTTAAACCAAAAATATCCCCTGAACTCTTCTTAAAACCAAACAATAGTTTAGCTTAACTAGTTTCAAATGTCTGCCTTGAAATGAAGAATACCAAAGACACAAGGACAGTATTAGCCCACGAGACAAAAGGGCCACATAAACCAAAGACTTTATCAGCCTGAGACTGGAAGAACTATATGGTACCCGGCTACCACCAATGACCGCCCTGACAGGGAACACAACAGAGAGTCCCTGATGGAGCAGGAGAAAAACGGGGTGCAGAACTCAAACGCTAACACAAAGACCAGACTTAACGGTCTGACTGAGACTGGAGGGACCCCAGAAGGCATGGTCGCCGGGCTCTGTTAGCCCAAAACTAAAACCATTCCCAAGGCCAACTCTTTGGACAAAGATTAGACTGGACTATGGGACATAAAATGATACTGGTGAAGAGTGTACTTCTTAGCTCAAGTAGATACATGAGACTAAATGGGCAGCTCCTTTCCGGAGGTGAGATGAGAAGGCAGAGAGGGTCAGGAGCTGGCTGAATGGACACAGGAAATCCAGGGTGGAAAGGAGGAGTGTGCTGTCACAGTATAGGGAGGGCAACTAGGGTCACACAACAATGTATATATAAATTTTTGTATGAGACTAACTTGAACTGTAAACTTTCACTTAAAGCACAACAATAAAAAAAAAAAAAAGAAAAAAGAAAATGTCTGCCTTGAGCATTATGCTCTTTTAAGAACTATCTATATGGGATCAAAGTGACACCAGTAACTGGAAAGACGAGGTAAGAATTTGGAGGGCGGTGACACTGATCACATTCTCTGAGTTGTGCAACTGTCCTCACCCTCCTTTTCTGAGCTGTTCCTCCCCCACTGACATAAACCCACTGCTCCCCAAGTTCTCAGCTAATCTTTTCCGTTACCGTTGAATGGGCGTATGCTTTGCTGTGTATATTACTGACAACAACCACAAAATAAAACTAAAAAAAACAACAAAAATATTCATGCAAGAGGGGAAAGTTCCCGAGGAAACAGCTAAGTGCAGCTGTGAGCAGGCTATTTCTGTTCTAACTCCCTTCAGCCTGTGTCTAATAAGCTAGCCCAGAAACAGTCTGTAAGTTCAATGCAATTACATTTCAGAAATATCCAGGAAGCATAATATATACACACATATATGTGTGCGTGTGTGAGATACAATATTAATAGCTTTTAATCTATTTAATCTTTGAGAATACATAGATATAGGTAACAAAAGCTTTCGTTAAGTCTAAAAGTTATAAATACCTTAGTCATATTTTAATAAATTACATTAATAGTAATTTACTACTAATAGGCACACAGAACCAATCATTAAATCATTTTTAAAACTATAAAAGCTTCATTTTATTAAAATAAACCAATTATCTATCTCTAGCATATAATATGAAAGAGGAACTGCATCATAAATTACTACCCATTGCCGTCAAGGCGATTCCAGCTCAGAGGGACACTACAGGACAGAGGAGCACTGCTCCACAGGGTTTCCAAGGAGGAGCTGGTGGATTTGAACTGCCAACCTTTTAATTAGCAGCTGTCGCACACCGTTGCTCCCAACCACTGTGCCACCAGGGCCCCATAAGTTACTACAAATGGTCCAATTAGAGTAAATTTGGCACAAAATGAGGACTGCACTTTAAATAGTGCAATTCTGTATCTAGTGAACATAAGGAGCTGGATGAGACTATGTAACACAGACAAGGGGAACAGACAAGGCAGCTCCTATTACAAGGCCCCCAAGAGGGGCACCCCACATTCCATGTGCCTAGGCCTATGTCAGCTGTGGGAGGAGCTGGACAGACACCGGAAGCCCTTTTTAAAAAAAGGGTCCATGTTTATTCTGCCAATGTGGCTCAGTCCCCTCGTCAGACGCCTGCTAGAGTCAAGAGCTGTGGAGCTTGGACAAGGTTTGTCCTCTGTGAAAACACTGTGTCTAAATCAGGACCCTGTGGAGCGACTCGCTCGACTACCAGAATTCAGAGCCAGGACCCGGAACCACGCGGTCCCCGAAGGCAGAAGCCCGTCGCGGTGAATGCCACCACTCTCTCATTTGAACCCCAAGGGGCCAACTCAGCTCTCTCGTTTGGATCGAGCACCCAGCTCCACAGTGCTTGCTGACAACCAAGCACGCTTGCTGGGAACCACAGTGGAGGAGGGACAGGACCAAGGCAATGACGGCCACATTGCACCACCTGGAACACACGGGGCTCCAAGCCCCCGAGTCTGCTCCGATCATCTGGCAGTGGAAATGTGTCTCCTATGCCTTCTTAAAGCATATGAAGTCCTGACTATTTGGTATTTATCTGCCTTTTTTGTATGTGTGTGCTATTTTTTCTTGCTTTCATCACTTTCAAAAATTAAACTTTTCAGAGGACAAAAACTACGTCCTACATGTCTCTGAAACCTTCAAGCCCCAGTTCAACACGCTGTATACAGTGGATGCTTAACTTGTTATTTGAAATAATTGATAGTTTACAGTCATTTATACACTATTGTTTAGAAACAAATCTGGGCTGTGATTTTTATTGCTTTAATAAATGACAAGTTACAGCATTAATGAGTAAAACTTTGTTTATATCGGACTTAGCATTTGATATTAGATTTCAGAAAACAAAGGACAGTTTGAGGTATCTTAGGGAAATAAGGATAAACAAGAACATAAATAGGTAAAATTTATAAAATTCTGACAACCTACCTGGCATAACTAAACGCTAACCTTTTTGAGAGAATCTCCATGTCTTTCCTGAATGTACTTCAGGAATGCCGTTGTCCACTGGAGAGTTGTCGCCTTGTCCGTCTCGGCGTTGCAGAACGGGACTAAGAGGTTCAACTCATCACAGCAAATGCGGATTCGGCGTCTATAGTCAAAATCCAAAGTAACGACAGAGAAAGCTGAAGCAAAACGGAGGAGTCAAACGAGAGGCTTCATTGTGTCACCTGAAGGAATGGGCACTCAGAAAGCCTGGCCACTGGGTGCTTCAGAGGTGGTCACCCCTACACAGGAAGTCCCACCCAAACCAAAACCAAACCCGTTGCCGTCGATTCTGACTCACAGCAACCCTATAGGACAGAGGAGAACTGCCCCACAGGGTTTCCAAGGTTGTAATCTTTATGGAAGCAGACTGCCAGGTCTTCCTCCTGCAGAGAGGCTGGTGGGTTTGAACCGCTGACCTCTCGGTTAGCAGTCGAGTGCTTAACCACTGTGCCACCAGGATTCCTAAGTCCACCCAGGGAGGAGTAAATTCACACTTCCCCACAGAGGTAACCTCTGTCCTCAAGCTCTAGAATGGACCAATGCCTGGCAGTCCCCTGGCCTGGGCATGCTCTCTGGAGCTGTGTCCCGAATGACTTCTCAGGGACCAGGAGCAAGGACCAGGCTCCCGTCTACAGATCGGGGGGGAGGAGGGCTACAAACGCCGGGAACTGTAAGGAAAATCTTGTGAATGCGCTTCTTCTGGCAGATCATCCTTCCCCTCAACACATTATTACTCGCCCTCCACGTGCCAAGTACTGTGCTCAGAACTCATTCACAGCTTTCAGATTCTCCAAGGGGCCCCAACTCAAAAGAGATACCCGGAAACCCACCACTCACAACTTCACTCTTCTTCTTCTTAGACTATTTTTAACTTTTCCACACCACAGTCCGTATAATATATAGGATATAGTCAGTCGTCAATAAATTGGCACTGAGAAAATTTATACAAAATGGCGCCCATGGTTCATCTTCACCACTCCGTATTTAGTTTAGAGACTTTGTAAAGTAAAAACAACTGCAGCCGCATTTACTAGATGCTTTCTAACTTTCAGGCCCTGAGCTCAACACTCTACGTACCATCTCATGTAACTCTAATCACAAGCCTATGAGGTAGCTACTACCCCTATTTTATAGACGAGGAACTTGGGCTGAGAGAGCTGAAGAACGTGCCTAAGGTTGCTAAACTAGGAAATGGCTGTTGGAATGCAAACTTCTACTGTCAGCACGAAGCATACAGCTTTTCACATACCCAAAAAACACCAAACCCATTGCGGCCGAGTTGATTCCGACTCCTAGCGACCATATAGGACAGAGTAGAACTACCCCATACGATTTCCAAGGAGCGCCTGGTGGATTCGAACTGCCAACCTTTTGGTTACTAGCCGTAGTTCTTAACCACTACGCCACCAGGGTTTCTACATGTTTTCACATATTAGGTATTAAATAAATGTCTATTAAATAAATGTGCGAATAGGAAACAAGGAAGTCCTTTACTTAGTGTGTGTGTGTCTGTAGACACATATAGAAGGTTTCTACCTATGCATCTATCTGGAGCCCTGGTGGCACAGTGGTTAAGAGCTTGGCTACTAACCAAAAGGTCAGCAGTTTGAATCCACTAGCTGCTCCTTGGAAACCCCATGGGGCAATTCTACCCTGTCCTATAGGGTTGCTATGAGTCAGTATCAACTCGACCGCAATGGTTTTTGGTTTTTATCTATCTCTTGCTTTAATATGTTCCTTTGAAAAGGAGATGAACTGCCTTAGCTCAACACAGGACTTTGAAAGTTGACCATTATTCTCACTCAGTGCTGTACTTCCCGGGGGCAGACTAGAAGCTGGTGCGCACCAAGGACTCAACAAATGACTAATGAATGAATGATGTATTAAGGAAACACTGTGTAAAAATTCAACCGTTAACAGAGAAAAACGCATCACCTTTTGATTTCACACAGAGGGACAGCACCAATAAAATCACAGCTCAAACAATTTAAGTAACAGTTTAACCTCCTCCTCCCACAACATTCTTTAAAAGAATCAAGCAAAACCAAGGTACCTAACATGCAGGCCTGACTGCTGTCTTTTCAAAGGTCTGCTTACAAGGCTGGCACTTGGCTGGTGTCATTTCAGAAGGGTTCCTGCCACCATTCCGATACAAATAAATGGCTCGTTTCTGGCATAGTTGTTAAAAGCTTGGCTGCTAACTGTCGGCAGTTCGAATCCACCAGCCACTCCTTAGAAACCCTATGGGGCAGTTCTACTCTGTCCTACAGGGTCACTATGAGTCGGAATCGACTCAACGGCAACGGGTTGGGTTTGGTTTTTGGTTCACCTAAACTGTGCAAACAATGTGGTTTATGCGGAGCACTGGCTTTCCTTTTGGGGCATCTGGAATTTGGGTGTGTGCCAGATGTGTGCCAGGCAGGGGGTGGGGCACTGAGCCTCTAACGAGCTTCCCTGGGTGGCAACATTTCACATGTGTCATCACAACTCCCTGCTGGGGGAGGTAAGCGTGTCCTGAGTGACTCCGCTGGGTGAGGACTCTTGGATGCTTGCGCCTGGTCTCCCTGTCTTCATGCCGTGTGTCTTTTCCCTTTGCTGACTGTGCCATGTGTATCTCTGGCGGTAATAAACCTTAGCCGTGAGTACGGCTCCATGCTGAGCCCTATGAGTCCTGCTAGAGGATCGTCAAAGCTGGGGGTAGTCTTGGGGACCCTGATCCACCTGCAAAGCTAAGTTCATGTTTACTCTTGCTCCTTTTCCTCCCTTTCAACACAGAACCCGCTTCAATGTTGTTTTATCTGTAATTAACTTGCACTTCTAACATAACTGTATACAAATCGACCTGGCTGCATCAATCACACGCGTTACCTTCTATCTCTTTCCATTCGGTTATGCCTCTCCCTACGCTGAGACCTTCCTCCCTGGGGCCCGCTCTGGGTCTGCTCCCCCAGGTTGGACTGTGAGGACTCCGCTGACTGCCAAGCGCCCTGTGCGGCTGTGGAGCCTTCGCCCACATTCTGAATTTCTCCAAGGGCTCTTCGTTCTACATTTGTGTCCAACTGACGTATTCTACTTCGATTCCTCTTATTTATTGCTTGTTTACATAGCGCTTCTTCTTTGCAAAAGAAGAAAAAAGTGGTATTTTAATTTTTTATTCTTCTTAACTTATCTCCATTAATGCTGAGTGTATTTTTCCAGCATTTTCAACCCAAGATACAAACATTACTAGGCAAGTAGCACAGAGAACAAAACCAGTAAAAGCTGCATTACTTCGATGATTCAGAAGGGTTATGAAACCCTACTTCATGCTATAAAATTGAACATGAATTTATAACAAAGTTAACATATCCTTCTGTGTATTATGCAATCAATCAATATAGCCTTGTCAAAATTCCTATTTATACTTTTTAATCAACAAGTGTTAAGATACCTACGCATAATGAAACCAAGTTGTTCGACTTTCCGATATTCAGAATGGGGAAAGAAAAAAACCCGTAAGTATTTTCTCCAAAAAAGGATTTTATTTTTATACGATTATTCTAATATGACAACTGATATTCTAACAGCAGTGCTCAGAAGAGAAGACAAAATCAAGGTGGCTTAAGATTGAATATGTCCTCACCTTAGAGGTGGCTCTCCCCACAAAAAGAGTAATAGCATCAGTTTTTATTTATGCTATGGAAATGTTAAGTTTCCATCAAACACAGAAAAGCAGGCATTGAACTCTTATGTGGAGATGTGCATTCCCCATGTGCCACAGAGCCAAATTCTCTGTGGTGAAAAGAATCGCTTAACACAAATGTCAGAACAGCGGTAACTTTTCAAGGGGGATGTAGAGAGGAATTCAAAAGTATTTGTAATATTTTATTCCTTAAGCTGGGCAGTCAGTACAGGGGCTATCTGAATATTTATCTTTATATAAGTCTTAATACTTTTGCATAAAACATGCTGTTATGGACTGAATTATGTTCCCCAAACCTATGTGTTGTAAATCCTAACCTCTCTGCCTGTGGTCACAAGCCCATCTGGGAACAGGCTTGTCTTTGTTATTTTAGTGACGAAGGATTACTGTAAGGTTTATCTTAACTCTTTTGAAATGTAAGAGATGAAACAATCGAGCAGAGCGGAGATGGGGAAAGACAGATGCCAAGCCACATGGAAATCTCCCAAGAACCAGGAAGCAAAAGTTGAAGAGACAAGGACCTTCCTCCAGAGCCGACAGAGACAAAGCCTTCCCCTAGAGCTGGCACCCTGAATTCAGATATCTAGCCTCCTAAACTGTGAGAAAATAAATTTGTTTGTTAAAGCCACTCACTTGTAGTATTTTTGTGATAGCAGCACTAGGTAACTAAAACATGTGCCATAATAACAACGAAAGAAAAAAAAAGATTAACGGGACAAAGTGGTAGCTCTCAATTCTTACTCTATCTTCATTAACTCTTAAAAAACTGAGTGTAAGCTGTGTTATTTAGCTGTATATCTTGAAAAATACTTATTTTCTGGGGAGGACAGGCTTGAGAGTTCACTTTCAAGGTTAGCAAAGTTTGCCTTCCGTACTTTATTTCTAAAACATCCTGAATCACCTATGGCCTCTTGTTCCCAACTTGCTCCTGTGTCCATCTGCAGACTGTCCTATGATTATTCACCTCTCCCAAAGCTTTTAGGTTTCAGACTCCTGCCTCACTCATGAAGTATCAAATAAAGGCAAAAAAAAGATTCAGTGTTTTGGGTGTAACTTGCAGAGGGGTGAAAATTTATGTAAGTCTATCATTTTTCTATTTACTCATTTACTTTACTGTTTATTTTTTAAGAAAAATTAGACCCCAAACTCAATGTTTCCAATCCTAAGTATAATTATGATGTTCAACATTCAGAAGAACGTTCAAAGTGAGATGACGGGGGGAAGAGGGATGGAAGAAGGATCCCTAAGACGTAAACATACTTGGGTAAAAAGCTCATACGTTTATAAGCCTCCCTGCCCAGCCTCTGCAAGGCGAAATGACACTAAATGCAATGCTCGGTTAGAGGACAAAAACGCCTGCTATCTTCTGCTTTACATCTTACCTCCTACTTTAATCCAAACCTGCTCAGGTAAAGCTTTGTTTCTACCGCCTAAAGTCTGTTTAGTGGATTCAATTTCCTGCTGATAACAGAAAGAAAACGCTCTAGGCAATCCAATATCCTGATGTTTGGCAGCTTCAAGTATAGAACAGGAGTTACCAGAACTCTGGAAAAAATGAAGCAACAGCAATTTTATCAATACGTGGCTTAATGTCTTTACTGCACAAAAAAAATTACACTTTAACAGAAGCAACATCAAAGCTATTAATAAGCAATTTGAAGAACTTTAGGTGCACTGATGATTTTTAAATAATCCCAAACCACATAAATACTCTCAATTTTAAAAAGTTACTAAATTGAACAAAAAGAATAAAACCTTGGGACCTAAGTGACAGTTACAATTTAAGACAGAAGAGCAAAGCTCCACCGGTCCCCTTCCCTACCTGTGTCTGTGAAAGGTTAGAACTTCCAGCAGCAGAACAAGCGTTGGGAGTGAAGAGCGGGTACGTGAACTGCAAAGCAGTCGTTGCCGCGGCAGTTTTATTTTTCACTAATGTTGTGCATTTGTTCTGTTGCTGATGAAGAGGAACATTCATTAATTCGGACGGATGTCGGATAAGAGTTACCAAACTGCCAAGACAAAAAAAAACCCCAGAAACTCATGAAGAATGTGTGGAGGGTAGGTTTCCTGAAACATTTCAGTTACTACCACACCCTACTGGGTGACATTCGATTTTCTAGACAGGAGGGGAGCTGTTACAATAAACACCCCTCATCCCGCAGACTTCTACCGAACAACGATCAACCACAGCGGTGGTGGCATACTTTTCTCTTCCTCAGGGAGAAAAATGGGGCCACGTGTCAATGCCATCTTTGAATTATACCTCCTGTGCCCACAGCACATCTTTTTTTTTTTTTTTTGCCATCCTCCAAAATCTGATGAAGACGGACAAAATGAGGGAAACTGGAAGGGTCACTCCTCTGTGACAGAAGAGGTGGCCGGGGGCCTCCGCCGGAGCATCACCATCTGGCTGCCAACTTGGAGCTTCAGGTTAGCTTCCATTCGCAGGGCTGCGTCTGCACGTGTGAGGGGAAGGTAGCCGTGGCCTGGCCCACATCCCGGGAAGCAGGAAGGCTTCTCGCGACCTTTAGGCAGGTGATCTGCGCAAAACACGTGGCCCCCAGCAACATGTGTACCGTTATCTGACTTCTTCCTCTCCCTTCGTGTGCAGGCCCGGAACAAGCATTCAGATCCCCGTGGGGACACGCGGGGGGCTTGCGGGCAGCACTGGCAAGCGCTCGCCCAGTGTCTGCGCGGCCGCTGGGGCCTTCCCGCGAGGCTCGCCTTCGTCTACACCGCCACCGCCACCGCTCTCTGGGGTCTGTGCCCACCCCCCCGCCCGCGCCCGCCCCCGCCCCCCTCCCGCGGAGCCAGGGCGGCGGAGCCGTGGGTGGGGGGCCGGGAACACACTTGTTGAGCGCGACGCCCGTCTCGGGGGTCTCGGAGCCGCGCGGCAGCTCGGCCGGCATGCTGTTGAAGCGGTCCTCCAGGCGGACGCGCACCGCCGACTTGGCCCGGGCCTCGGGCGCGCCCTCGCCGGCCGCCGCCGCGTTCTCCTTGGTGGCGCAGTCCGCGGTCTTGGCCCGGGCCGCCGCCTCGCCCGCGCCGCCGTCCGGCGTCTTCTCCGCCGCGTTGGCCACGGCCACCGGCAGGCTGGCCTCGCTCAGCAGCATCATGCGCAGCTCCTGGAAGTCGATGTGGCCCAGGCACGGGTTGGAGGCCGCGAAGCCGCCGTCCGCCGCCAGCGCCGGCGGACACAGCACCGG